AATCACCACCATACGTTTCATCCCAGCTCGACAGATAAGTCTCGGAATCGCGTGGATGAACGCGATATACGCTATGAAGGTCAGCAGGATATCGATGTTATCAATTCACTTAATCCCAAATGGCCGGGCTTCCGTTTAAAAAAAACAAAACACTTTGGCTAAATTGTGGGAGCAGAAATATTCTCTTACCACAAACGATTATGATAGTTTCCTGTGGCTACCAAGCATTTTCCATTTCATCATTTTAATGAACCAACAAATCCTCGGATTTCAGTTGCGATGTCCACTAGCTACAGTAGTGGTAAAAGTAAAACCTGTGGGGGGGGGGGGGGAGGACACACACACAAACAGTGGGACATATCAAAATGGTGCGGTCAATGGCGTATGTCTTTATTTTTACCCTTAACCTCGGGGGCCTCCCATTTCCAATTCCTCTTGCCTACGTTGAGCCATCACCACTACCCTTCCCACCTCTGGGCTGAGGAAAAATGCCCCCCCCCCCCCCCCCCTTGCAAACCATCCCAAGACAACAGGACTCGACACACTTGATCCATCAGCTGCAGTTCCACAACAGAACAGGCAGAATACGAGGGACGTTTCTGGTCTTTTGGGTGACATCATAGCTGTGGCATGAGTCTTCTTTACTAAAGCTCAAAACAGAGTATTGTCCACTCATGAACTACTCCTCTGCAGTCCTGCTGGGATCTTCTCCTGGAATGCACAGCTGCTCAAACACTCACGTATTGGCAAAACCCCCATTTATAAGTGTCTGTTTAGGCCTACAGGGAACATAAAATTTAGGGAGTTTACCGTATTTCTTATTATAAAATACAGCCGGGCGGAATCGACCTCGACAAATGTGGCCTTACATGCAGGACGAACTGCTAGGACCTGTTGGTGTTTGCAGAAAATACATTATATATACGCTGGCATCTGCTGCACGCCTCACATGCAAAACGCTTCTCATCTGACGGCTAAGGTGGATAAAACTCAAAGAACATCAATATTGTATGATCCGCCCGGAGATTCGACTTTCCTGTATTTACCACCTTCGCCGGCTTGTTTTTGACAATTGCAACTATTCAAACTCGTGTGGCTCCATATCGGCGTACTGGGACTGCAAGGTAGAGGTGCTCGGACCACCCATCCATTAGTAACCAAGACAACAAGTCCTCGGATAACAGGGCCTGAGGACTTGGAGAGAGTGCGGCTCTCTTTTTTTCCCCCAAAGAAATCATTTAATGGCCCCTCAGACCTTTAGTGGGTGAAGATTAGAGGGGGGGGGGGACTTCCTGGTAGTCCAGGACGGAGATGGGCTTTTCGGCTTTCCCATCTCGCTTCCAGCGGGATTTGGGGAGCCATCTCGGACAACGCGAAAAACACAACTGGTGCATGGAAAAAGTTATGACTCCTCCGACTGACACATTTTAAAAGGAGGATTAGGAGGAGGAGAATCCTGCATGCAGACATTTTAGATGTGCAGCCAGAGGATTTTCCCACATGCACCGCGTCTCACACCCTGACTGCCAGTATGTCAGCCAACAATGAGAATAATGGCTTGACCGAAAGTAATAAATGGCATCAACGTAGACATACGGTTAGCACTCGGGAGGGTGGTTTTTGTACAGCAATAAAAAGGTAGAAGATCACCAAGACATGTAATTACCGCTCCATCTGTTAATCCTGCATTCAAATGAAATCACGTGTGACACACATTCCTGCACCGTTTTATGAATTCACTTTCTTGCATGGAGGTCGCGATGGCATGCTCAGTCTGCAACTCCTAATGTTTTAGGTAACAGTGTGTTTGCCATTTGTGTCAGATATCAAGCTTAGTGGTGAGGAGCGACCTCACCTCACCCACCCAGCCCGTGAACGTTCCCCTTGGAAGAAAAAAAAAACCCTGCAGGCCGGCAAATAAGAACAGATGCAGCAGTGTGCAGACAACAGAGGAAGGGAAATAAGGGAAAACACCCCAAACAGAGACCAGCCAACAGATGGAGGAATGGAGGACGGTACTTACTTGCCAATCACCTCGCACAGCTCGTAGACATCCTCGAACAGCACGTCGTCGTCCGCCATGGTCATTCGGGTAAACGAGGATGCTCTCCTCAAGATCGCCCACCCACGCGATTTTTTTTAAAGGGGGGGGGATTCCTGGTTATTTAAACCCCCGCCACCACCACCCCTAAATAAATGTCAGTGTCAGTGGAAAATGAGAAGAAAAGAAACAAAATCAGTAGCCGCTAAAGAGTCCCAGGTTAGCCGGCTAGCCACATTAGCTGGCGTCCGAGGCGGTCACTCCGCGGCCCCACCTTCCGTCGAGTCCCCCCGGCAGGTCGGCTAGCCAGCGAGCTAGCTAAGTAGCACCCACGGAGCTGACCCCGGGGTGCGGAGATTTCCTCGCTCGTTTGCAGCGGCACACCCCTCCTCGCATGCCTCGGGGCGGGGGGGGCTTCTGTGTCTCTCACCGTCGGGTACCGCCCGGTGTCGGGACTCCCCTCGGCGGCATCTGCTGACGGGAGGCTTTTCCGCAACGAACCGAGATGCTCGCTTTCACACCGCAAGCTAATGGAGCGCTTGAAAAAAAATGGTCGGCTAGCTGGGTTAACGGGAGCTGGCTGTCGATGGGAAATAAACCGACGGGCTCGCACCGTACCCTCGTACCAGGGATGGCTTATCCCCGCCGACAGCGTAGCGTGTGCTGGCCGCGATGCGCTTCAGCACCGCAAACCCAAACGGGAGACCTCCGCGTGCATGTCGGCGACTACTCCGTTGCATACGTCGCATGTGCTTTTTTTAAAATAATACCGTGTTTCCATAAATAAATAAAAAAACACTGCCGACCCTTTGCTCCGGCGCCCCCCCCGGCCGCTACTCTGGCTTCGGATGCTGGCTGGCGTCGACTGGCCGTTTTCCTCCGACTTCCAGAAACGCCAAGCCCCTCCCGCTGCATATGTCGTCCGAGGAAACTGGTCCGACCCGAGCCGGAATGGTGCGGGCGAGCGGAGCTCGGACCGGACTGGCGCCGCGGCGTCAGTGGAGCCAAGATGGCGTGCGGCGAAGGGGGCCGATTTGGGTGCAGTTTCCTAATCCCCTTCCGACGGTTTGCATCCAGAGTGTCGCGCGCAGGCGTCGAAGCATCCAAAGCCCCATCACCTTACGTCAGCTTTTCCCCGTCTAATGCAGTTCATTCCGGTGTCGTTTCCACTGACGGTAAAGCGTATTTCCCACGCATTGACGGTGCATTTGGAAAAGGATATTGGAAATTCCCAAGGGGCTCAGTCTGCAAAACCGACCCTGCAAATTCTATTCTTTTCAAAATAAGACAATGGGATGGGGGCACAGTCGATTCTGAGCATTCTGGTGTTCAACTCTCCCCGTTGGAAATGATGTGATGATCCAGCTAATTTGTTATTGTGTTGTTATGAAAATAGTGATATTTTGACACAGGATTAAGTGGATTTACTTAGTTTTCGTGTGATCATCCTGCAGGTGCCTGTGTGGGTGCAGGAACGCAGGTGGAATTTACCTCAGGTGTTGGAAGACCGTCCCTGAGATGTGTCGGTGACGCCCCCTGGAGGTGATTAAACTAATTACACACCTCCCTCTGCTCCATTTTGGGCATCCTCTCATGAAGAACACTGAGAAACAAAACTACAATAACGATCGCTTTCGTGTACAACAATACTATATAGTATTAATGTTCAATACGACTATTATATGTCTAGCCATACAAATATAACAGTCATGATATTACCTATTGAAATTCAAGATTAGGAAAAACGACCTATTGAGTCACTCAAATACTGAGGACAAAAAAGCACCAAGCGTTTCTCCCAGCCTGCCAGAGACCACACACGAAGTGTCGAAACGAAATAGAGCCGAGCTGGTATACACGTAAACAAATAAACCCCACAAGGCAACAGCAAGGAGAACTCGTCCATGCACACAGGAATAAACAAAGACATCTGGTGCCACTAGAGCGCGCTGTACTCTTTTGGCGCACCCGTTTCCATGGCGCTGCATCCCTTTTTTTTCTCGCTCACACATCATCATCGTCATCAGCGAGCCTCCCCCATTGGCTGAAATCCAGTCCAAATCCAACCGATAATCCGATTGGCTGTCGATGTGGTCATTTTACTGTGTGCATGGCGGTGCATGCGCGGTTAATCAGCCCGTCATTCAATAGGATTCACAGGGTGCTTGTAGAAAAAAAGTGACCCACAGACAAAGGCGCTGACAAATTTACAGTGAGGGAAAGTGGAGGATTAGAGATATGAGCGCTAAAAATGGAGATAAAGAAATTACATATGGGAAAGCACCATACATGGGGAGGGGTTGAAAGGGCACAGTTTCCATGGTAACCGGAAAGGGGAACGGTTTTGGTGGTTGCATGTACAACTGGCTTTCAGTGGGACATGCGCACACACCATCGCATGTTGCAGTGATTTACGTTCATCCCAAATATAATTTTTGTCTCCAGATTAGAAGGTTCCAATACTGTGAAGAAGAGGAGGGGAAAAAGCACCTTCTTTAGCAGCTGAATCCCAAGAGAAGAAATGCCCACACACCTTACAGCCTCCTCGACCCATCTGAAACACTGATTGGTTTTATATTTCACCCATTCAAAATAATCCTTTAAACCATATATTGTCTTTTGAACTTTTTTAGAACAGTGTTCAATTTTAATTTGCTGACTGTGTGAACGGTGTGAATCAGTTTAACAAAACATTATTGGTTCAAGGTTAATTGGGTATGCAATGCAGCAGAAAAATATGATTTGATTTCTTGATTCTGATAATAGTAAAAAGTATTTTTTACCTAACGCTAAGTTCCCTTCCATTATACATATTTATCATTAAAAGCGAGCCTTTTTTAACGTGTACGTTTTCTTCACTTGTTTTGTTTGTTTTCTTCTGGTATATTACGTTACTTAATCCATTTTGTTTAATTTATTTGGAAAAGATCTAGTTGTGAAAAAAAAAATGAAACCGTCACTTCCGGCTGTGACGTGATTGGCTGATTCTAACCGCGCAGACTGCTGGGAAAGCGCGACGTTCAAATCTGTTTCCGGTTTCTGTCTGCTTCGGCCGATTAACAAGCCAGACATGGAACGACATCAAAACAGGTACAACTCTATCTTACTAATCACCCTCTTAAAATATTATTTTCTCAAGTACGTTTTCATTCGCAAAAAAACAAACAAAAGAACGCCACAATTGGTGGACGTCGGCTGTGCGGCCTTTATAGCATCGATGCTCGTTGCGCTCGTCCGTTTGAAGAGAATGTCGCGCAACACAACAATAAGCGAGCCGTTTGATTTTGCTTTTTTTCCTACGAAGGACACACGCGTGTCACGTGTTTGTAATTAGCGTACATATATTGACTACTCAATTCTAGAGACACACGTATTGTATTCATCGAACGTTTCGTTTTAAATCGCAATGGATAGTCTTGCGTTGATACGTTGTTGTGAGAAAGTAATGCTTTCCTGTGTGTAATCGGGCTGATGCCGCCTCGGCTTTATTAAAAACCCGCGGTCACTACAGCTTAACCCGCAGAAACGGGGGATTTCCACCCTCTCTTCCTCAAAGAGCACTGCTATTACAAACTGGAGCAGTGAACCCCAAATGGAGTTAATGTGATGGTCTGTGTGCCCCTTTCCAGAGAGACAAGGACTCCACGCAACAATGTTGTCGTCCACAGGAGGAGGAAAAGCAAGAGCTACCGGCTGTCGTACCGCAGCGGCCTCGGTGCCGCCGACTCACGCCTCGGCTGGTCTCCGGCATTGACGGCACGGAGACTCAACACCAGCAGGAAGGCCGCAGGGATAAGCAACATCGCCGTGAGTTGGTTCTCTTCTCTCCCCCCCCCCCCCCCCCTGTGTTTTTACTCCAACTAACATGTGTCAATCGGTAGCAACTCATTGTCCCCCATCCTCTCCATTGCTCCGCCCTTGTCCCAAAGGAGAGGGTGGATCCGGGGCAGCTGGCCTTGCTGGTGAAAACGGAGTGGCAGCTGTCGTACGTCACTCCTCTTCATCAGTTCAGACACACCCAGCTGAAGAGCTACGCCCGGCAGCTCTCTGCGTTCATCGCCGCCGGGAAGCAGCAGGGTTTGGCGGTTGAGGTGGAGGGCTTGCAGACGACCTTCCGGGTCTCCTTCTCTCTGGTGCAGGGGATGACGCAGTCGGACGAAGATGCCGAGAGCGTCCTCGTACAGGTATGCGACGTGCCTCGCGGGGTTATGGTGTCGATTGCTCCCTCCCGCCTGCTGCTGTTTCTCACGGTTTCCTTTTGGACCATAGATCCACTCAAAGCGGCTGTTTGCCAGGCAGGACGAGCCGCAGAAGCCAGTTTGGAGCGGCTGGCTGACCTGCATCAACGGCAACCCCGACTACCTGCGCGCGCTTCCAAAGGACTTTGTCTGCCTGCCGCTGTTCGGCTGCAGCGGGGCCGACGGACTCTCCGCGTTGGTCAAGTCGTGGTTCCAGCAGTCCTTCGACTGCTGCTTCGGCCTCCTGGAGATCAGCCACACTAGCCTGCAGTGGCTGATGGCGTTGTGGACCAACTGCCACGCGGAGTCCGGCATCCAGCACCTTAAAATGATCTGGACTCTTCCGGCCGCGCCACCGCTGCAGGTCACCTACACGGTCGACCCGGAGGACGCATGGGAGCTGTGGAGCAGCGTGAGGAAGGGGAAAGGGGGAGGTGGTGGTGGTGAGGAGGAGGAGGAGGCGGGGGAGAACTATATCGACATTGAGGAGGTGACGAGCTTCATGCAGGGGCTGAAGAGCCACTTCTACAGACACTTCAGGTTGGATCTGTCAGCGGGAAGCCTGAACCAGGTCTCCACAGCTCTGGGCTCAGCCAAGTACAGCGGCAGAATGAAGGTACCATCCACACGAGAACTTTGTCAAATGCTAAGTGTATTTGCTCTGCTGATTTTTGTGAATGTTCTTTTTTTTTTTTTCTCAGATCTCCAACAGCCGATACATGATCACCACCCTGACGCTGCTGACCGAGTGCGCCCTCCTCAAAATGCCCATCTGATTGAACGGATACAGACTTTGATGCCACCAGAGAATACAATAGCAGCATTCATTTGGCAAAAGTTACTTCAATTGGTTCTCGTTTTTATTAGAAATGAAGCCAAACATTATTTATCTTTAATATTTAACATCAAATGACGAGAAATATCTTCCACAATATTCTCTTCCATGAAAAGTTTTATTCTTGCTCTGGTCATTTTGGTGTCGTAAAGCAAGAAATTACAGAAAGTCTTGTGGCCATGATGAATATTGAGGTAAACCAGTTTTGTTGTCTTTTTAATCTCTGCTGGTAAACATCCTTGGGTTCCATTTCTTATGAATGCGATCGCATGTGTATATACTTGTCTAGATGTACATTTTTGTAATTTATAAATAAAAGCAAAAAAGGTTTGACTGGCACATGAAGACATAATTGTTTAATACAAACCGCTTGTGACAAAATTATCTATTGTGGCTGAAATTTAGACACCGTTTTGAATACTTAAATACTTATCTGGCTCTTATGGGTTTTGAGGTTCATGATTAGCATTTATTAATCATGAATAAACAGATCAAAAAGAGCCATTTGATTTGTCAGAGCAGTTTATTCAATGAATTGCCTTCATTTTGTATATAAATATTTAATATGTTAGCGTGCACCTAGCGCCGCCCCCAAAAAAAAATTAGTAGTTGAAAACAAAATTGCAACTTTATTTTAAGACATCCAAATTAATACAATTCAGACAACCAAAATACATTTAAAAAATGAGGGAATACGAGCATACAAAACGCCAACAGGGAAAAACAGCCTCTTCAAAGAAAACACCTGTATGTAACATTGTATATTGCACTGGTTAAAAAAAAGGCAGAAATTTGCGATAAAATTAAGTGGACTCCAACATGTGGCCATCACATCTACATGATGTGAATACGAAGGGCGTATTAGTGCCAATCGCTTCTCTAATGACAGCATTGGTGTCACTTTTGGTGCCTAGCTTACAATTGTGGCAACTAGAGTGCAGCAGATGCTCGTCCTGTCATTAAAAGGGCATCGTGGAGCGCTAAGGATTATGAAAATAAAGGGTCTGCATTTAATATTCATGTATATCAAGAAGTCCTGATCAGAGTGAAAAAATAACCGAATTGTGTTTGCTTACATGCTTCAATGGCACATGAACGTCACAGCAACTTTTAAAAAAGCACTAGACTGGGGCAGGGTGTTAACTTCCAAAGTCTGCTGCCTTCCATGGTGTTTATCTAATATATACACACCTGTGTGTGCGCCAATGCATGACAACCATCAGTGTGACAAAAACACAAGGGATAGACAAAGCGACGAGGACTCTGCTCGTCTGTGGCAGCTTGACATATTCAGCAGTCGGACAAAGATCTGTGACGGGTCCCGCGGAAGAAAGTCACGGTATAACCAACTGAGATTCAACGAACGCACTCCCATTCTTTAGACTCCCGTCAGTCACTTAAAAAAAGAAATCCTTAGCTGTGATTGACTTATAACAGAGAGAACAATTTTCACCGTTAACACAACAAATCATGCTTCAACTTTTAACGTAACGTCCGCCCACATGATCAGTTTGAGTTGGATCGATGCCCACATGGGGCCGAGGTAAACGATGGGGGGGGGGGGAATGTGACCCATGTGGTGATTCACAGTAAGTGGAGGATGCGGCACCTGCAGCGGCATTAGGAGGCCAGACCCAGAAAGAAGCCGCCGACGAAGCCGCTGGACAGCACGATATTCCTTTTTATAAAGTCCGTGGCCTGTGTAGGGGGGATGTGGGGGGGGGGCAGACAGAGAGCGAGTCATTAAGAGCTCAAAGGCAGCATGCTGCATTAACTAGTGAACTGCTTTTAACAGCTTGAGTGTGCAATTACAATTGTTCCGTTGATCTAGTGTAATTTTCTATACTTCATAAAAAATGTTTCATGATATGCAAACATCAAGAAACACACATAGCGGCATCAAAGTTGTGTTACAGCCAGGACTGTACACTAGAGGGCACTGCTGGTTTGCCGATGCCAAAATAAACCCCCCCACCACAACAAACCCATTTAGTTGGAAATAATTATGTCAAGGGTGGGGCTTGGCACGTGTTTTTGTTTTTTGTTTTTTTTCATACAATAAAAGGTTAATGTTACCATTCAGAAATGTTGTATTTGTTTTTTAACAACAGTCAATTGAAAGAAAAGGTTAAACAAAGAACAAGCTTTGTTACAGGTACCTTTACCTCCTCAATGAATGTGTTTATTTCAGGGACCGCTTTGTTTGCTTTCTTCTTCAAGTGCTTCTTGGCTTTGTTCACATCTTTCTCCACCTTCTTCCAGTCCACCTGCACGTAGCCACTGTGATTGGCCATCTGGGAGGGGGACAGAATTACTCAAATTTACATCATTTTGAAGTGAGCCGAGCACAATACATTGTGTTCAAATCTGTCCTCTAATGTTACTCTGACATTATGGGAAATGGCTTCGATGATCTCTCTTGAGCTCTGACGGTCAAATCAAATTTGGATTTTAAGAAGGATAGCGTATGATTCACCAGCCAACGTCACACATATATCAAAGTTTTAGGTGGAACATTACGTGCAGGGAGATTTGTTACTTCTCTGGTGTTATCTAGATGTAAGAATACAGCACGGATAACTTGTCTTGTTGATGCACATGCGATGCAGCTGCTCCATGAATCTGACAAAAAAAACAGTTTCTGGAACTCTTGCCTGCAAAAGAAGGAACCCTCCTCCAACGGCGGTCGCAGCGATCTTCCCAACCCTCTGGAAGAGGTAACCAGCACACCTGTATGCGTCGGGAGGAGGAGAGGATTGGTCATTTCACAGGTGCACTAAATAACTAAACACAAAATACATGTCGGCTATGGATCATTGAGCCATACTGAACATTTTCAGACAGGCGTGTGTGGGTGTGTGAGTATTTTAGGCTCTGTGGTTACGTTATGTCACCTGAGAGGAGCCACATCTTCGTGCCTTACCATCCGGTCACGCCTCCCATCGCGATCTGGGTGGCTACGGAGTACTTCTCAGCAATCGGGCCCGAGTTGCTCCCGAACACCCGACACCACCACTGGTGCCGCCGGGCGTACTCGGTCAGGTCCACGACCTCATAGACCTCATCGTCACTCTCTGGGTCGTCCTGTCCTGCCGCTACAAAACGCAAAAAAAACAGACCGCAATGAAGATCCCTTCAGGGGAAGGAGTGTCCACGCTCAGTGGGGAATAGCTGTTGTTTTTAACAGCGCCCGAGTGGAGGCCGTTCAAACTCAAGACACGTAAAACGCCCCCACACACATATATATGTAACGCTTACTTTCAAGGCAGCTCAGCCTCCGCTGGCTGAGTGAAGCGTTTTTGTTCTATGTAACTTAAAGGACTTGGGAAGCTATCATTAGCTAGCTACGGTTAGCTAGCGTCAAATGGCTACCCATTCAATATCATGCACACTAAGGTGCCGTTTTCGGATTCCGACAAGCCTCGAGGTCAAAGGGGGGGCATAATTACATTACTAATGGCGGGAAACGTTCTAATTTTGCGATATCTTGGGGGAATATAAGAAACAAAATAACCAACCTTCTCTCTGGTCAGCCGTCGCCATTTTGAAAAAAGGAATTATGTCACCAGGATGTTGACAAAGCTAAACCACGCCCACGCCGTGATGCTCTGCCACGTCAGTTGAAATGCTGTGCACCAGTTCAATTAGGCTCAGCAATTTAGCAGCTTTATCGCCAGAAGAAACATTGCCGCAACTTTTTGTTCCCCGCACGAAAAAGCTGCACAAGAGGTGTGAGGAGAATTATTTCAGAACTGAGATCAAATGCCGTAAAAGGCACGTAACGAGTGCTGCATCGTTCAACCAGTCTGTAGAGGAAACGACGTCCAACTGACAACCGAGCGTCAATGCATGTTATTAAATTGGTGATATTTGATCCATTTCATCGTGATTGCATTTCTCAGGAAACGTGTGATCAGTTGCTTTATTGCACAACATGTGAAACACGTGTTCAAGGCTTGTTTTATTAAAGCATGTTTCCAGGATAATCGTGGTAATAAATATGAGTGGTTTGTAGAGGGAAAACGAATTTTTAAGATTACAGAACGCTAGAGCAGGGAAGTCATATGGTGGGATGCGGGTGCTCCTATTGGCGGAAGACGGGAGAGAGGGCGTGGCTAGAGCGGCGCGTGGGTTCGCTTGGGTGACACAATTATAACAACTTTATCTTCGCGGCGGAAACGCGGTTTATTGTCAAATTCTCATATCTTGGATACTATATTCCGTTATTTGCATTCGAATAGCGCAACAAGATCACTTTGTGATGAAAAATGTGACGTTTGACGAGCTACCCGGAGAGCGCTTCTGTCCCCCCCGAAAGGATTTACTACATCGAATCGCATCTTTTCATCCTGGGAAAAAGTTTTTGATCCTTTTGTTTTCTTCGGTTTTTCTTCTTTGATTCGGCGGAGCAAACCCTTTGTCCCCGCGTCGCGATTTTCCATGCAATCGTGCGGCGTGTCTCTCGCCGTTGCTGCCTGCGCTGCTGCCCGGAGTCTCGGCTCGGCTTCTTCTGGTGGTGATGAGGGAAAGAAAATGGCGGCGGGAAAAGCGAGTGAAACAGAGGAGGACTTTCCGACACTGACAGCCCAGGAGAGGGACAGTTTGGCCGCGATCGACAGGTCGGAACAGTCGCCCCGTGCACTCACACGGACGCACACTGTTGAAAATGTATTGTTTTCTGTCCTTGCATGTCGACGATGTGTCCGAGCCGCTCCGCGAGTGATTCTGAGCCGCCTATGTTGTCTTCTCGCTTGCAGCTCACTGTTTGGATTTCAGAAGCTTCATGAAGATGGCGCCAGAACGAAGGCCCTGTTGATGAAGGTAGCGAATCTCAACTGGATGTGTGTCACAATCAAGCTGCGCCCCCGATCTCCCTCCCGGGATTTTACCCAAACCCTCACAAACTAAGCGAGCACGTCAACGCATTTACCCCCGAAGTAAGCGAGCCAGCCCCCCCGAGCGCGAGTGGCCCACCCGCTAAGGAGACCCAAGGCCAGCTAGCCGCAGCCCCCCTCCTTTAGCCACTCTGCTAGCTCCGCTAGTTAGCCGCTCGCGCCCGACGAACGGCCACCCTGCACCTGCTCGGTGCCTCTGGCCAAAATAACGCGTTGGCCAAGTAGCCGCGGCTGTCTGGAGGTGACCGACTCTCTCGCGTCAACGCGGGCTGCGTGTTTTTGTTGAGCAGCCGCCCTTCGCCGTTAGCTGCGCGGCTAACGCCGTTCCCTGCAGCGGACCCGCTGTGCACTTTGCAGTTGAGCCACCAGCGAGCCCGAAACGTCGTCACATTGATTACCAGAAACATTGCACTTAAGTGAGAAACTTCGTGTTTATTGCAAAGGGTTATAATGCCACCACTGGGCCGTAAGGAGCCTTATCCGGCCGTTACACTGTTTTGCTGGAAGTAACATTAGGTGCACCAACTGCAGCCCCTCCTCCTCCTCCTATTGCGTTGTGCGGTCAGTAACCGTTGCAAATGCCTCGGTCCCACGTTATGTTTCGGTTGTTTGTTTGTTTGTTTTTTTTTGGGGGGGGGGGGGGGGGGGGGGGGTGACATTGCGCTCCCTTCCTCCCTCCCTCTCCCCGGGGAGGGGGGGTCCGTTCCCGTTCGGAGGTTCGAGTTGACTGAACGTCACGAGGAGTAACGTTTAATGGCCGGCTGCCCGTCCAAGATGGCGGGACGCGGCGGAGTGACACCGATAGCCGCCGGACTGGAGCGAGGGCTCCCGGAGCGCTCGCGCGTTGCCGAAGCGCTTCTTTTTAAAGAGGCCCCCCCCCCCCCCTTTGTAGAGACGCGGTCCCCGCGCCGACCTAGGCGGTGTCCGCGTCCTTTGTTTACACTTTTCATTGCCGCCGCCCCCCCCCCTCCACCACCTCTCTTTTCTGTTCCACTCGTCACGTGCTCTCGGGCTCGGTCCACCTGTACGTAACGCACATCTGGGCTCGCCGGCATCACGGGCCCACCAAACGCACCCGGGCGAGATGCCGATGGGACTTTGACACCTAAGCGGCCCACCTGTCACGGAAAACTGTTTCAGACGGGCTTTTTGTGTTGCAGAGACCGATCTTGCTCCACCTCTTTGCACCTCTGCACTTGCTGTGTCCACCTGTTCACCTCAGGCAGAAAACGAACGTGACGGCTCCACACTGAGTCCGGTGGTGACTCTTTCCAGCGTTACCTTCCACGTGCAGATTGCAAGAAAAGAGAGCGATATTGTGCCCTGATGAGTTTAGGTTTTGAAAGAGGAACGTGTAGGACCCATTGTGGGCCGGAGACATCGAGAAGGTGGCACAGCTGTGCCGCTGGCACCAGGACGTCAAATGACACATTATGGATCTAGCTGATCGCGAGGTCCATGGCGTTGCTTTCCACTTCCCATTGGCCAAGGCGCCTTCAGTTGCAGTTGTCATGGAAGCAGAAAGCACGCTGTGCGCTGTGTTTTCCTATCTTTTTAGGCTCACGGTGGGTTACTCGTTTCCTCTCGGTCCCCCTCCCTGAAAAATCAAATGGCAAACGAAACAAGGACGACGGCAAGAACGATGAACCTCAACCGCGCGTGACGCCGACGTCAGGCGTTGATCACGCGAGTCCGCTGTGACTCGGTGGCGAGAAAAATCACTCAAGGTTTCTGCTCGCAGCGCGTCCCGTTCGGAGTGACTACCGCGTCTGGGACCGCCGGCCACGTCGCCGCACTGTTACTTTAATCTGTGTGCGGATCGCCGTGGGGGTCCAACGTCTGTGACAGAACTAGGTCACTATTTCGCCACCGGTAACAAGGTGGCAATGTGGGGGGACGTTTTTTGTTTTTTCGCAGTGTGGCACGAGGAGTTTCAGTTTTTAGTGTTGCTGGGGGGGGGAAGGGACTGGTGCCGGTTTTTTTTTCCAGTTTGCATGTCCCGCCCCTGTTTGCATGGCTGTCCTGCAGGTTAGCGAGGCCCAAAGGCGAGCGGGCTGCATTTCACTCGACTGAGGCACGTTTTTGCGTGATTGCGTTTATAAGCCAGCCACTGACTTAATTTCCACCAATAACATCATGCCATTCATTCCTCAATCAATCAATAGAGCGAAGCGAACATAAACTGAAGGGACAGAGGAGCCTCGGGTCACGGTCAGCAAATATCCAGTTTGGTAGATGTCTAAATTGCACGTGTAGTTTGTGTCTAACCCAATGAGGTGCATCTTGACAACGACGCGGAACACGATGAGACGGCAAAGTCGCCTACGATGTCGTCACACGATGAGTGGGATGCTGGGGCCGCTGGATCGTGGCGAAAATAATACAATTATTAACGATGAGATCATGCTCATTTAACGGGCGATTACTCGTTGACCTTTTGGCGCTTTTAGAATGAAGAAGCTGTAAATCCAGAAGTTGAACGCTTCAATCTGGTGCACTTTACCAGGAGAGGTGGGAGGCCACGCCGACGGAGGAATGAGTGCTCTCATCAAGAGCGTCATGCGCTAGCAAACCATTCAACCGTAAACGCATTGCTCCCTGCCGGGAGATAGATAGAGGGGGGGCTGCACGGCTCCAACAAAGGGGGCGGGGCTTGTTTTATAACTGGGAACCCATTGGCGGTTTTTATCCCTACTTGTCTTATTTTCACAACCTCCGGCAGCTTAAATTTGTATTCGATTGATCCGCGGCCCGTGTTCGCGGCAGTAGAGGGGGGGGGCGGGGCTTCAGCTTGGAACCCACGGAGCGGCACGTGGACCGCCACAGGTCCGGCCCCCGGTTTTGGATCTCTGCGCGGCGCCGGGGGAAACTCAAGGAGCTCAGGCGGGGCCCTTCTCGAGTTCGTAAGCCTCGCCGAGGGGGCCCACGTGGTCTCGATAAGGGACTTCTGTCTCCCAACGACTGGGCCGGGGCTCTGCTGAGGGATCGGTGTCGGCTGGAGTGAAGCGGGTCCCTTCTTCAGCGCGCTTCTTAAAGATTCAGCTAATTAATGCACCGATCTGTAAATCACTAAAATCCCATTTCCATAATGTCCCTCTTAACTTACTTAACATCTTCCTGTGAATATCTGTGAAAAACATTTTTTATCATGTTTGGCGGGAGAGGAAAAAGAGGCGCCGTAAGCACGGCTCCTTATCTGCACCAAACCTCCTGTTAGTCGGAGAAGGCTGATGTTTATCTGCCGGGGGAAAAAAAAAGGCCAGTCCACTTGGCCAGAATTACAGCGCTGACGTTCGCTACGCTGCGACTTTCAAAAGTTCTGAATGATTGTGTGTGTGTTTGTGTTCTTCCCCCAGGCCGTTCGCTGTTACGATTCGCTCATCCTGAAGGCCGAGGGCAAAGTGGAGCCGGAGTTATTCTGCCACCTCGGCCACTTCAACCTCCTGTTGGAGGATTACCCGAAAGGTGAGACGACCCCTCGCACGATTTCCGTACCCCGGGGAGTCGGGTCGGTTTCCAGCCGGGCCCGACCGCCGGTGTCGTCATCCCGCGGATGGATTCTCAACCTCTCTTTTCTTTGTGCTTGTGATTGTAGCGTTGTCGGCATACCAGAGATACTACAGTTTACAGTCAGACTACTGGAAGGTAAGCGGCACGCACTGATGTGCCAACGCCTTTTTTCTTTCTTTTCCACGTGCACGGGAGGCGCGTTCGGTTCTCAGTTCGGTTCCCTGGTTTCGGGTCTCGCGCCGGAGTCGTTTTTCTGTTTCTCATAACGCCTCTGTCCCCCCCCCTCTCACAGAATGCTGCCTTCCTGTATGGCCTGGGAATGGTCTACTTCCACTATAATGCCTTTCAGTGGTGAGTACCAACTGTCGCTGTGTGATTTGCATAAAAAAATGTGCGCCCACACACACACACACACACACACACACACACACACACACACACACACACGTGTCCCCCGAGGAGCACCGTGACGTTCTCTGGAATAACGCTCCTCTGGAGTGGAAATAATAAAAAGGGCAACTTTTCTTCTCGCACAGTAAAAGGAAATAAAGCAGAGTGAGCAGGTCCTCCACTGTCCACAATTCTCTTCTCTTCGTTTCTTTTTTTTTAAAATTCACGTTTGGCACATTTTAAGCCCCGCCCCCCCCTCCTCCTCTTCACCGTGCTCTCCGTTGGGTCCCGCAGGGCGATCAAAGCATTCCAGGAGGTGCTGTACATTGACCCAGGCTTCTCCAGGGCCAAGGAGATCCACCTGCGCCTGGGTCTCATGTTCAAGGTCAACACAGACTATGAGTCGAGCCTAAAGGTAGGTCCAGACCCCCCCCCCCCCCCTCTCCAATACGCCCCAAAAACCTTCAATGGGGTGTTTTTTAGTTATCTCTCCCGTGTCACTTTGTGAATGTATTGTACAGATCGAGAAGTGTTTGGCCAGGAGCCTTCACACTACTGTGACACGCTGTGTAATGAAGCGGTTCTGAACATGCGTGCCTTCATTGATTTCTACCTGTGTTCTCTCTCAGCATTTTCAGCTGGCTTTGATTGACTCCAACCCCTGCACTTTGTCCAAAGCTGAAAGTAAGCACCTTTTTTTTTATTTGTTTACTCGATTACTCGACCCCGCGATCACGAGAAGTCAAGATAATAGTCGAGGAAGAGCGATGTTTTGTTTTTGTTGTGAATCGCTTAGTTTTGACGGGCCTAGGGCGTAGAAAGGAAACCGTATTGGACGGATTCACGTGGCTCCGTCTAGAAACGGTGAGCTGTGGACATTGTGGACATCCGTTTTAATACGAGTGTTGGATCGTGTTCAGCTGCTAGCTCATCTCCCGTTACCTTGACGACGGCAATACAGATTTATTTATTTGCATACCAGCTATTTGCTTTCGTCTATTTGTATACCCCCCCCCCCCCCCCTTTAATTCCTGTTCAGACATAGCAAGGGCAGCCTCTGTTCTCCCTCTCTCTCTCCCTCCCCCCCCTCTGCACTCTCCTCTCCATCTGCTGAGAGTCACTCGGGCAGGTTAGGATCAGACACTGCAGCGCTCAAGACAAAAGAAAGGTGCCGTCAGGAGCACGGCTACCTATCCGCTGCATGGAGCGTTGGACGGGGCGACCTGGGCTTTCTGCCCTGTGGTAATAGACGCAGCGCTGCTTTCAACCCGACTCGTGGGGGGGGGGGGGGGAAGAGACTCGAATAACCCCCACCTAACATGCTTCCTCTTCTTTTCCTTCTACAGTTCAGTTCCACATCGCTCATTTGTATGAGATTCAGGTAAGTGCTCTCCTTTCTCATTTCCTCTAGTTATTCTTCCAGGGAAGCGAGCCATTTCGTTTCTGTCCTTCCCTCGACGAAGGAAATGACTGTTGATGGAATGTAGTCGAAGACGATCGCTCGTCGTTGCCCCCCCCCCTCCCCAGCACTGTGACACCACAGGGCCTCCCCGTGGAGGGAAAACCCGTTTCATTCTCTTTTCTTTATAACCGGGTTCTTGCAAAGTAATTGAGCAGGGCGCAGGAGTGGGTGGCATGCGGGGGGGTACGGGATTACTCTAGGCCGATCGGCCGGGTTGCCACGGAAACAAGAAAATCAGTGCGTGTGTGTGTGTCCCCCCCCCTTTCCTGTTTTGTATGCTGGTGGTCTCCCTCTCGGTACAGTAGCACCAGCCAGCTCTCTGACTAGTAAACATGTTGGCTGGCAGAGGCCTCGCTGCGCCTCGGCAAGCAGCCATCGGAGGAATTGAACCCCCGACGACGTTAATGTCAGCGTTTTGTGTTTTTTTACGCTCTCCTCTGGCTGCCCTCCTCCTCCTCCTTGACCCTCGGTCATTCCTCGCCCCTTCCTCCGCATCCAGAAGAGATACCGGGCGGCCAAGGAGGCCTACGAGAGCCTCCTGCAGACGGAGGATCTCTCTGCACAGGTGAAGGCCACTACCCTGCAGCAGCTAGGTAAGAGGGTGCACGGCAGCGCATGTCTTTGGGAGTCTGGGGGGGGTCCAGAGTTGGTCGGCGGGTGGTTTGATGCAGGACTTATCGGTCCAGGTTGGATGCATCACACGGTGGAGCAGCTCGGGGAGAGAGCTGGCCGGGACAGCTATGCCATCCAGTGTCTGCAGAAATCTCTGGAGGCCGACCCAAACTCTGGGCAGACCTGGTACTTCCTCGGCAGGTTCGTCACACACTCACATATTCGGGACACCCTGCGGTTTTGACGTGAGGCATTTGCCTAAATCCGTATCTGTAGCGCGCCGCTCACAGCCCGTGTGCCCCCCCGCAGGTGCTACTCTAGTATAGGGAAGGTCCAGGACGCCTTCATCTCCTATCGGCAATCTATCGACAAATCGGAGGCCAGCGCAGATACCTGGTGCTCTATAGGGTGAGGGTCCATCGCTTGTATTGTTAGCAGGGACTTGGTTTTCTGAATGGATGTTGGCCTCTATTCTAACCTTTTGTTGTTGTTTTTATTTGTTATTTCTCCAATTGCCCCCCTTCCCCCTCTCAGGGTGTTGTACCAGCAGCAGAACCAGCCCATGGACGCCCTGCAGGCCTACATCTGCGCCGTGCAGCTGGACCACAGCCACGCCGCCGCCTGGATGGACCTGGGCACGCTGTACGAGTCGTGCAACCAGCCGCATGACGCCATCAAGTGCTACATCAACGCCACGCGCAGCAAGGGCTGCACCAACACCCCGGCGCTGACCCACCGCATCAAATGCCTGCAGGTGGGTGGAGAGGCGGTGGGGGGAGGGAGGGAGGGAGTCGGGGGAGCTCACGGACACTTTGTCCCTGCTCACAGCTCTCCTTCAGGACTTTCCTTCGTGGCGCCGCCAGCGTTAGCGCTTTTGCTTCCACCGTTATCGTTTTTTGTTTTTTCTCAATTGGTAGTACGTGATGAGCCGTTTCTTAATATCGGATACGGATACAGGAAAAAAAATCATCGGTAATCCCTCTTCCTTTTTTATTAAGGTTATTTATCCTTTCCTAGGCGGATGGATTCACAGGGGAGCTATTGATAGCCCGATCAAACTTGACCTTTCGCGGGTGCGACCAATCCCCACATCGCGTGTGTTAATCTGTCCATCCGTCATTTATGTGCCAGCGATGTCATTTCCCTTTTACATATGCATGAAGGAATGTTGCATCTCCCAGCAGTTCCATTAAGGCGAGCTCAGCGGCTGGTTTGAATGGGACCGTTGACCGCCTGGGAGTGTTGTTGCTGAATGTCGTCCCGATGCGCCTTGTGTGGTTGATGCTGTGCATTAAATATGATCCGTTCGCCAGCCAGAGGCACAAGTTGGCATTTGTTTTCCAGCCGAGCTTCACTGTTATAACCTCTTATCTATTTACCATTGCTGATCATTTCCTTGTTTTTGACGTCATCGTTTCATTTATTTTTTTCCTTCCAAAAAAAAAAAAGAAGAAAAAAAAAAAAGCCTTGTGTTTTATTTTTATTTCTCTTTTTTTGTTTTTTGTTTTTTTTCACGTCGTTTTCCATTCCCCTAGGCTCAGTTGAGTAACCCCCAGCTCAGTAGCCCACAGGGTAAAAGAGGAAATCCTCCCTCTTATTGA